AATAGGGAGAGAGGGGGAGGCGGAGGCGGATAGAAGATGGATAAAGGAGAAGATAGGTAGAGAGGAGACAGACAGACAGGTCAAAGAGGTGGGGTTGGAGCCAGTAAAGGTGCATGTAGGTGGGGAGTTAGGGAGGACAGACCGGTCAAGGAGGCGGGATGAGGTTAGTGGATAGGAGATGGGGGTGGGGCTTGAGGTGGGAGGAGGGGATAGGTGGGACGAAGGACAGATTAGGGAGGCGGGGACAAGCTGGGCTGGTTTTGGGATGCAGTCAGGGAGGGGAGATTTTGAAGCTTGTGAAATCCACATGGGAACCCTGCAGCCCAAGGGTATCAAAGCGAAACATGAGATGCTGTTCCTGCAGCTTTCAGGTGGCATCGTTGTGGCAATGCAGGAGGCCCAGGATGGACATGTTGTCCAAGGAGTGGGAGGGGGAGTTGAAATGGTTCGCGACTGGGAGGTGTAGTTGTTTGTTGCGAACCGAGCGTAGGTGTTCTGCAAAGCAGTCCCCAAGCCTCCACTTGGTTTCCCCGATGTAGAGGAGGCCACAACGGGAACAGCGGATACAGTATACCACATTAGCAGATGTGCAGGTGAACATCTGTTTGATGTGGAAGGTCTTCTTAGGGCCTGGGATGGGGGTGTGGGGGGAGGTGTAGGGACAGGTGTAGCACTTGCTCTGGTTGCAGGGAAAAGTGCCAGGGGTGGTGGGGCTGGAGGGGAGTGTGGAGCGGACAAAGGAATTAAGGAGACAGTGGTCCCTCCGGAAAGCAGATAAGGGTGGGGAGGGAAAAATGTCTTTGGCGGTGGGGTCAGATTGCAGATGGCAGAAGTGTCGGAGGATGGTGCGTTGGATTCGGAGGTTGGTGGGGTGGTACGTGAGGATGAGGGGGATTCTGTTTTGGTTGTTATTGCGGGTAGGGGGTATCTGATTTGTGTCCTCTTTTGTGAGGACAGAGCCAGAGTATGTATTTAGTTCCTTAGCCATTTCTTTGTCACCTACTATACATTCCCCCATTCATGCCTGTAGGGGACCTACATTTGTCTTCACCAATCTCTTTCTCTTAATGTACCTATGGAAACTCTTAACATCAGTCTTTATGTTCCCTGCAAGCTTACTTTTGTACTGTATTTTCCTCTTCTTAATAAATCCCTTGGTCCTTCTTTGCTGAATTCTAAACTGCTCCCAATCCCCAGATTTATTATTTTTCTTGGCCAATCTGCATGCTTCTTCCTTGGATCAGATACTATCCTAATTTCCTTTGTTAGCCCTGTTACCCTTTTTGCTTTCAACCGACAGGAATAAACAGTTGTTGCAGTTCCTCAGTGCGTTCCTTGAACGTTTGCCATTGCCTATCCACTATCATCCCTTTAAGTAACTCTCCCCAATCTATCAAGACCAACTCACACCTCATATCCTCGTAGTTTCCTTTATTAAGGTTCAGCACCCTTGTCTCCAAATCAACTGCCTGACTCTCCATCTTGATTAAAAATTCCATCATGTTATGGTCGCTCTTCCCCAAGGGGTCTCGCACAGCTAGAATGGCAATGATTCCCTTCTCATTACATGGTACCTAGTCTAAGACGGCCTACTCTCTCGTTAGTTCCTTAACATAATTGGTCAAGAAAACCATCCCATGTACACTCCAGGAATTCCTCCTCTACAGCATTGTGGCCAATTTGATTTCCCCAATCTACATGCAGATTAGAATCACTCTTAATCACCAACATTCCCTCATCACATGCATCTTTCATTCCCTGTTTATTGCCGTTCTTGACCACCACTGCAATTTGGGGTGTCTATATATGGCATCTACTAATGATTTTTTGCCCCCGAGTATTTCTCAACTCTACCCATTCAGACTCCACATTGTCAGAGCTTATATCCTTTCTCACTATTGTGTTATTTTCCTTTTTAACCAGCATTGCTGCTCTCTCAGCTTCCTTTTTGCCTGTCCTTCCTAAGTACTGAACACCCTGGGACATTCAGTTCCCATCCCTGGTCACTCTGCAGCCATCTCTCCATAATCCCAATTATACTGTACCTATTTACATCTATCTGCACAATTAGTTCATCCACATTTTGCAAATGCTCTAAGCATTAAGGCACAAACATCCAATGAGGAAGCCTCAACTACTTCACTGGGCAGGGAATTCCACACATTGACAACCCTTTGGATGAAGGAGCTCCTCCTCAATTCAGTCTTAAATCTGTGCCCCCTAATTTTGAGGCAATGCCCCCTAGTTTCAGTTTCACCAGCCAGTGGAAACAACCTCTCTGTTTCTGTCTTATCTATTCCTTTCATAAAAGGATATGTTTCTATCAGATCACCCCCTAATTTTTCTAAATCCCAAAGAATATTATCCCAGTTTATTCAGATTGTCCTCATAAACCAACCCTCTCAACTCTGGAACCAACCAAGTGATCCTCCTCCACATGCCCTCCAGTGCCAGTACATCCTTTCTCAAGTAAGGAGACCAAAACTGCACGCAGTGCTCCAGGTGTGGCCTCACCTGCACCCTTTACAGCTACAGCATAACATCCCTGTTTCAATCCCTCAAGCAATGAAGGACAAAATTCCATTTGCCTTCTTAATTACTTGTTGTACCTACAAACCAACTTTCTGCAATTCATACACAAGACACCCAGGTCCCTCTGCACAGCAGTAGGCTGCAATTTTTTTTTAAACCATTCAAGTAACAGTCCCTTTTACTGTTATTCCTACCAAAAGGGACAACATCACATTTATCAAACATTGAATTCCATCTGCCAGACTTTCACCCACTCACCTAAACTACCTATATCCCTCTGCAAACTTCCATAGTCCTCCGCACACTTTGCTCTACCATACACCTTAGTGTCATCTCCAAACTTTGACCCAGTACACATGGTCCCCAACTCCAAATCATCTTTGTAAATTATAAACAATTGCAGTCTCAGCACTGATCCCTGATGCACACCACTAGTCACTGTTCACCAACCAGTGAAACACTCATTTATGACAACAAGGTGTAGAGCTGGATGAACACAGCAGGCCAAGCAGCATCAGAGGAGCAGGAAGGCTTGTTATCTCATTGATCCCCATTAGTTGTTTTCCTGTTAGTTATCCATTCCCCAATCCAGGTTAATACATTACCCGTAATGCCATGCACATTTACCTTACGCAAGGGATGGGTTAACTTTCTCTTAAGGTTTGCACTATTCCTCACTAATAAAAGCAGATGAAACATCCTATTTCAGGGACATTTACTGAAGACATTTGGTTAAAAGTAACGAGCCAGCCAGGAGTCGAACCTGGAATCTTCTGATCCGTAGTCAGACGCGTTATCCATTGCGCCACTGGCCCGCTGTAAAATTGCACCGCGGGGTGGGCTTAAGTTGCTGCGTCATATGGAGAAGCCCCACCCTTTTTATGAATGGGGCCCGGTCACGTGCCTCGGAACCCTGCGTCAGCAGAAGCAGAAGCAGAAACAGAAACACCGCGGCCTCCCTCCCTCCCTCCCTCCCCGGGCCCTGCCGCCTGCCGCTTGCCGCTGTCTCCTACCGGCCTCCCTCCCGCTTTGCTGGTCTCCCAGGAACAGTGGCTTCCCGTCTCGATGGCTGCGTCCCGAAGCCCTAGTAAGACGGGCCCCGGCCTGGCCGTGGAACACATGCCGGCTGCTGGTTGCTGGTTGCTGATACTCGATGAGCGAGGCCAGGACGTGGAGTGTGGGCGGTTCGAATCCCGCCCACTCAGCTCAGCTGGCCTTTTATATCCTGCTGCCAAATCGGTCTTTATTTTGGTGCAACAAGGTGCAGGGCTGGCCCGAAACGTCAGCCTCTCTGCTCCTATGATGCTGCTTGGCCTGCTGTGTTCATCCAGCCCTGCACCTTGTTGTCTCGGATTCTCCAGCATCTGCAGTTCCTACTATCTCTGATTTTATTTTGGTGCAGCCTTCTTATAATTATAATAATTATCTGCATAATTTTACATTTTGAAAATAACTGTTGGGTAAAACATTGTGTAAAATATAATAAATATATTTTTGTGTAACATTAGAAATGTCATTATTTTCAGAAACACCATTTAATACAGTGAGTGGGACAAATCATTGAATTGGAGCTAAACTCCATTCTAACAAAACGAGGTGATGCCCCAGGGTCTTGCTGTATGTCTGCTTCACCTTCCACTCACATTAAAAAAACTCTTCCTTGTTTGAACTGATTGACATTGCATTCAATGTGGGATAACAGAGACTCCTCTTGTATTGTTAGTAATTAGTGACTTTGTCGATAGCACTACTACCTCGGTGCACCAGGGACTGGGGTTCAATTCCAGCCTTGAATGTGGAGTTCGCACGTTCTCCCTGTGTCTGCATGGGGTTTCCTCCCGCAGTCCAAACATGTTCAGGTTAGGTGGATTAGCTATGGGAAAAGCAGGGTCTGGGTGGGATGCTCTTCAGAGAATCAGTGTAGGTTCAATGGGCTTGAGTGGTCTGCTTGCACACTTTAGGGATTCTAACTTTTTTTAAAAAAAACTCATGCCTGAAAGGGTGATAGAGACAGGAAACTTCACCTCAACACACCTAAAAACTGTTTGGATGAGAATTTCCTGGAAATTTACAGGATGATTTGATTGTGGTTTTCAAGACAGTATTTGGAATTGATAGGATAAATAGACATAGACTATTTTCATAGTTTGGGCAGTCAAGGACCTGTGGGTTTGGTCAAAAAGTCAGAGCCAGACCTTTCAGGAATGAAATGAAGAAATATTTCTAAACTGAGGATGATAGGAGCAGACAAGCTAGCAACACGTGGTGCAGATATGGAAATATTCAAGTCACTCCATGTGATATCACTAATGACTATGAAAATATGTCTTTGTGAATTTTTCTGCCCACAATTTAATTGGTTTTTTTGATGAAGAGACTTGTGACTTTATTGTTAATATTGTAGAGTGTGATTGCAAACCCATTGTGGCAAGACTCAGAATGTCAAATTAAAACCATGTTCTCAGTTCTCATGCTAGTATTCTAAATTTTATTTGTTTTATGTTTGCTGGTTGTTGGATTCACTGACTGTGTTGTGATTGTTGTTCTCAGCTTGTTCTCTAATACAACAAAATCTTGGCTTTACAGTTCATTTCTAATGATCTGGCAATGAATAAGGTCAGAAATCATACGACACCTGGTTATAATCCAACAGGTTTATTTGAAAACACAAGCTTTCAGAACCTCACTTCTTCTTTGGATGTTAGTGAGAGAGGTAGTTTCACACACAGACACAGCTTGTGTTTTTAAATAAACCTGTTGGACTATAATTTGGTGTTGTGTGATCTCTAACCTTGTCCATCCCAGTCCGATACCGGTCCCTCCACATCCTAGCAATGAACGTAAGGTCAATTCAAACTTCTGTTTGGTGTCACTTTCCTTTTTGTATCTTGTCTGTCCAGCAGAACAAGCCCTGTACTTCAATTAGTATGTGAGAAAGGTATGTCCAACATCTGATTATGTGAGAATCTATAGAAATATATGTGGCTGTATGTATGTGTATGTGTTTATGTGTGCGTACATTTGTGTGTGTATAGTTGTATTTGTGTGTGTGTGTGTATGTTTGTATGTGCAGTTTTGTCAGGTCATGTGTGTGTTGTGCCTTTGTATGTGTTGGTACAATGTATATTTGCTTTCCCATCCATGAGGTTAAACATTTCATGACATTCCAAATGGAGGACTGAATTGGAATGAGCTTTAAACTAGACTGGTATTTTTGCAATTATCTTTGGAGGTTTGTTAGACCAAAATTTGAGCTTGTCATTCTTTAAATTGTTGCCTATTTGCAGGGCCAGGTTGAATTGCATGTATTTTCCAGAGTCATTGTTCATCGGCCAAACTGGTAAGTCATTTCTGTTAGGATTCCTGCAAAGGAAGAGATGGCAATAATGTTTATTGCAGCATAAAGTGTGGAAGCCTTCTCAGTTATCTCCAACCTCCCCTTCCCTTTCCTACGACACCTAGCCACGCATTTAGGGATGGGCAATAAACATTGTCTTGCAAGTGATGCCCACATCCCACAAATGAATTCAGTAAAAGGTGAAATGTGAATATTGTTGGAGTTCAGGATGTTAGTATTTGGTTCAAAGGTACTTTGTGTCTGATTGAGCAGGGACTCACTAACACCTCCACTGAATATTCTGCTTCTGTGAAGGCAGCACAGCTGATTAACTATTCACTTTCAGCACCCCTTCCCTAACAAGCCCATATGCACCCTCCGTCATAAACCTACTGATACTCCACCTTATCTTCAAATCTACTAACTCATTTACTGTGTCCCAGGAAGGATCTATACAAACACTGCCCAGTCTCCAGGGGTAATCAACTCTTCTCAATATTTACCCAATCCCTTCCTGTTTGCCAGTGTTTTTTTTAAGAAAGCCAATCTCTGCAGAGAAATTTTCTGTTCCTCTTTTACTGAGGATTGTTTGTGTGTGTGATCAAGGGTTACAGGGAGAAAGCAGGAGAATGGGGTTGAGGAACTTATCAGCCATGATTGAATGGCGGAGCAGATTTGATGGGCTGAATGACCTATTTTCTGCTCCTATGTCTTATGGTCTGATGTATTTGTATGTGTTGATGTGTGTTTGTATATTGTGTGCATTTGTAAGTATGACTGTGTGTTTGTGAAAGTGTGTGTATTATGTGTGTGTGTGTTTTTCTGAGTTTGTGTGTTTTTCTGAGTGTGTGTTTCGGGGATATTTTTAGGCATAAGTATTTATACTTCTATATGACTGATTGTGTATGTTAACCAATTATTACATCTTTATTGAATAAAGTTTTGTTTTATAATAAACTAATAATTGTGAGTTTTAAGAAAACTTGTTGATAGATCTTTTTATAAAACCTAATATAGATAATTGGTTTTCATGGTAACTGCAACAAGTATTTTTATTTAATGTTGTGACTTATAGAGTAATGGGATTAGACAGACTGTGCTCTCCTCCAACCTTGATCGTAACATCTGAAATCACAGAACTGTTACAGAGCAGCATGAGGCCATTCCGCCCATTATACCTGTACCGCTCCTATTCCCTGGTGCCAATCTCCTGCCTTTTCCCCACAGGTCTGTACACCATTTCTATAATTATCCAATACCCCCTTGAACACCTCAGTTGAACCTGCATCCATCACATTTCCAGGCAGTGGAAATACAAACTGTCATTCTTTGGGAAGTGTTAGATTATAAAGCAAATATTCGATCTTTGGCTCAGGACCCACTTAGAAACTGTGGCAACAGAATGTAAAGTGGGCATTGTGTTATGGTAGAGACGATGGAATATTGATGTTCTGCCATGAAGTGTCACCAGTAGATTTATGAGTTAAGTCAAACTTTAGAGAAGAATGAGGGGGAATCTCATTGAAACATATAAAATCCTGATGGGACCGGGCAGGCTAGATGTAGGAAGAATGCTCCCAATGCTGGAGAAGTTCAGAACTAGGGGTCACAGTGTAAGAATAAGGGGTAAACCATTCAGGACTGAGACGCGAAAGAATTTCTTCACTCAGAAAATTGTGAACCTGTGGAATTCTCTCCCACAGGAAGCTGTTCGTTAGATATATTCAAGAGGGAGCTGGATGTGGATCTTGTGGCTAAAGGGATCAAGGGTTTTGGAGAGAAAGCAGGAATGGGATACTGAGATTGTGTGAATGGTAATGATCATATTGAATGGTGGTGCAGGCTGGAAGGGCTGAATGGCCTACTCCTGCACCTATTTTCTATGTTTAGTCAGCATGGCTTTGTCTGTGAGAAATTGTGTCTCACAAATTTAGTTGAGTATTTTGAAGAAGTGACCAAGAAGATAGATGAAGGCAAAGTGGTAGATGTTGTCTATGTGGACTTTAGCAAGGTCTTCGATAAGGTTCCATATGGTGGACTGGTTAGTAAGATTAGATGACATAGGATCTAGGGAGAGCTAGCCAATTAGATACAAAATTGGCTTGACAGTAGGAGACAGAGGGTGGTGGTAGAGGGTTGTTGTTCAGATGAGAGGCCTGTGACCAGAGGTGTGCCACAAGGATCGCTGCTGGGTCCACTATTGTTTGTCATTTATATAAATGATTTGGACGAGAATTTAGGAAGTAAGTTTGAAGGAAGGAAGATTAGTAAGTTTGTGAATGACACCAAAATTGGTGGCAGAGGGGACAGTGAAGAAGGTTATCTAAGATCACAACAAGATTGAGGAGAGGCAGATGGGGTTTAATTTAGATAAATGTGAGTTGTTGCATTTTGGTAAGGCAAACCAGGGCAGGACTTACACAATTAATGGTAGGGCCCTGGGGAATGTTGTCAAACAGACAGACCTAGGAGTGCAGGTGCATAGTTCCTTGAAAGCAGCATCACTGGTAGACAGATTGGTGAAGAAGGTGTTTGGCACACTTGCCTTCATTGATCAGAGCATTGAGTGCAGGGAGTTGGGACATCATGTTATGGCTGTAGGTGACATTGGTAAGGCTACATTTGGAGGGGGTTACCTTACAGAAGTCTATAAAATCATGAGGAACATGGATCATCCGGTGATAGGAAATTCAAAGCCTTAAGTGTTAACATTGGTATTTCTGTCTCAAAGTGCCTTAATTAATTATCTGGGATGAAAAGGCACATGCCATTGAGAAGCTAAAGTCACTGAAAACCTTACCTATTCCACGCAAAGCTGGCCCAGTATGACATCATCAACTTGCTCAGATTCTTTTCTCCTTCAGTCATGTTACCTGTTTATTAAAAAACTCACAAAGTAACAATATTCCCTCTGCTTTTCAATTAATGAACACATCACACACTTTTTACCATCTAGAAGGACACGGGCAGCAGATACATTTGAACACCACCCCCTGCAAGTTCCCTCCAAGCCACTCCCCATCCTGACTTGGAAATATATTGCTGTTCCTTCACTGTCGCTGGGTCAGAATCCTGGAATTCTCTCTCTAAGGGCATTGTGGGTCAACCCACAGCACATAGAATCATAGAATCCCTACAGTGTGGAAACAGGCCGTTTGGCCCAACAAGTCTACACCGACCCACAGAGCAGCCCACCCAGACCCATCCCCCTATAACCCACCTAATCTACACATCCCTGAACACTACGGGCAATTTAGCATGGCCAATCCACCTAGCCTGCACATCTTTGGACTGTGGGGGGAAATCAGAGCACCTAGAGGAAACCCACACAGACACAGGGAGAATGTGCAAACTCCACACAGAGAGTCACCGAGGGTGGAATTGAACCCAGGTCCCTGGTGCTGTGAGGCAGCAGTGCTAACCACTGAGCCACTGTGCCACCCAAACACAGACTACAGTGGTTCAAGAAGGCAGTTCACCACCACCTTCTCAAGGGGAACTAGGGATGGGTAATAAATGCTGGGCCAGCCAGCGATGTCCACATCTTGTGAATGAATAAACGAGGGTGTAAATACTCAGCTGCCAACTAGCCCATGAGACCTAGCCAGGTGCCAGTTGTGACTCAGCGGGTCAGAGATAGTAGGAACTGCCGATGCTGG